CTACCTAAGAGTTATGGCCTCCAACCCAAGAGCCATGGCCTCCAACCTAAGAGCGGTGGTCCATGTAATAATAGCTATGTATAATATATACATACATATGATGTTCTAAGTGTGCTGTTTTCTCTTGTTCTAAGAGTGCTTGCGGTCCATGTTCTAAGTGTGCTTGCACTGGATGTTCTAAGCTCGATGTTCTAAGTAAAGGAATTTCCATTTTGGAAAAATTATGTTCTAAGTGTATGTCTGCAAGTATAGAGACAACAACACCTTTTGAGGGGGGGTCCAAAAAACAACAATGGGGTTGCAGTTTTTACTACCACTACCACTACCACTACTACTACTACTATACTACTACTACTACGACAACGACAACGACGACTACGACGACTACTACTACTACTACTACTACTACTACGACTACTACTACTACTACCACGACGACGACGACGACTACTACTATTACTAATACTACCTCTATACCACTACTACCACTACGACGACGACTGCTACCAATCCTACTACTATACTCTTACTCCCACTCCGACTCCTACTCCTACAACTACTACAACAACGATACAAGCGCGTCAGGGGGGATCCAAAAACAACGACGGGGCTGCAGATTCTCTGTTTCCACCCCCTTGTAGAGACAAAGGAGCAAGATATGTTGAAACGGGGCTCCAGTTTTTGTTTGTACCTTGTTGTTGTTGTTGTTGTTGTTGTTGTTGTTGTTGCGTTTGCGTGGCGCCGTGCCACTGCGGAGCGCGAAACATGCTGGCGTAAACGCGGCGTGTCGCTCGTGAGCGGGATGAACTGGCGGTATCGTGTGATAGGATTGCTTCTAGTGTGTGGGCAGACCGTGTGGCGAATTACGTCCGTGATGTCGTAGTGCCATGCGGATTTGCGCGGCCTTGGTGGAAAGTGCGTTTGCGAGGCGCCGTGCCGCTGGGGAGCGCGAAACATGCTGGCGTAAACGCGGCGCGTCGCTGGTGAGCGGGATGATTGGCGGTATCGTGTGACAGGATTGCTTCTATAGTCTGTGGGCAGACCGCGCGGCGACTTGCGTCCGTGATGTCGCAGTGCCATGCGAATGTACATGGCCTTGGTGGAAAGTGCGTCTGCGTGGCGCCGTGCCACTGGGGAGCGCGTCAGATGCTGGCATAAACGCGGCGTGTCGCTGGTGAGCGGGATGATTGGCGGTATCGTGTGATGGGATTGCTAGATCAGTATTGGATCGTGTGATAGGATTGACGTTGCGCTGCCGTTGCATCTACGCATCTACATCTACACCCCCTCACCTCTGTACATTTACATCTTCACACGCTCGCACCCGCAGATCTACCTCTCTACCTCCACACACCCACACATCTGCGCATCTATATCACATCTGTACATCCACGCTGTCACTCCTTCACATCCGCCCTCTCTTTCTTTCTTTCTTTCTTTCTTTTCTCTCACCGCTGTACATTTACATCTTCACACGCTCACATCTGCAGATCTACCTCTCCCCCTCCACACATCTGCGCATCTATATCGCACCTCCTGCGCATCCACACTGTCACTCCTTCACATCCGCCCTCTCTTTCTCTCTTTCTACATATCTGTTCTCTTAATATTTTCACTCTAATTTCTTCGCAACTTCTTACTCAATAACAGATTGTATAAAGAAGTCATGGCTCTTGGACAAATCGGTTTTAGTTATTTCATGACTCGACAGTGCTGGGCAATCACCTGTCTCGCTCTCGGGCCAACCGTCGTCTAGTACTTCACCTTTTTCCGTGTGGATTCAGGACTTTGACATAGAGGCAATTCCATCCTACCACATGCCATATCCAGCATACAGCTTTCTCTCGTATGGCCACGAGGACGGCTGGTTGATCCGATAGATTCGATCGGAAACAGCGAATCGAATATGGCGCGAGATACCTTCTCAGCGTTAGAGAAAGAAAGAGTTAAGCAATGGCTCCTTGGATAGCCCTGTGTTGCGGTTGCTCGTGGCTGAATGGCGGGCCGGAGCCCTCGGTCGCATAAGCGAGCCCGCTGGCATTGAGCGCTGGGCGCATGCTGTGGCGCTGCTCCTCGCGTCGCGCGCTGGTTGGGCGGAGTGGCGCTACACCTCTTTGATCTGCGAGATTTCTATGTCTCAGCCACGGTCCCAATTCCATGAACTATGCAGTCTGATTTCGACCGCGCCCATTGGTAAGATGCATCATAAAGGTGAGGGTTGTGCATGGGGTGTGCCAGCCATGGGAGTTGAGCATACGCCCACTTCCCCACTTCACTCTCAAGCTAGGACCTGTGCGACGAAAGTGCATGGAACCGCGCGCCGGTTGGAGCAGGCCTAACTGTGCTCCAAATGAGATACGTAGTTTTCGCAGGGCTGTTCGTCGGGCTCAGGTTCAGGATGAAACGTTCATGTGCAAGGCCCTTGGAGGCGCTTGAACCACCACTCCTTCTTTGAAGTGACCTTGCGCTTGACCCCTTGCGTCGAAAAGATCTGACAAACCAACTTCACGCATGTGGTTGGGAGCACGGAGGGTGTGGACACGAAAACGAACTTTGAAGCAGCTCAAGCATGCCCCATGCCATGAAATCCTTTCTTGTCTTCTGGTTGAACGTAAGGCCGTAAGCTGCATGGGCAGTGCAGGCACGCGCTCATGGAATGTTTGCCGAGGCTCGTGAGGCCTCGGGACTACAACTTTGTGGACACAGGCGTATACTTAGCCCTCTTGAGGAATTCTGCCATTTCAAGCGGAACCACCTTGAGTTGGCTGATGCTCTTAGAGGGCTGACGGTGATGAAGAGCAGTGCGCCCAATGCCACAAAACTTACAGTACTTTCCGTTGTTGCCCTGCTTGGGTTGCCAATCAATTTTTGTGCTTCTTTCTTCTTGATCGAACATCTCTCCCCTTCTGTGCCCCGTCATTGGAAGAACGGAGGCTTTTGTACGTGTTTCTGAAGCCCAAAAAGAAATCTTGTTCGGCCCAGAACAATCGTTTGCTTGCTCTCCAAAATGCTCTTGGTAAGACGGCCATTGGTATTGCTGGGAGTACGCAGCCCATTCTCCCTCAGCTTTCCTTTGGAAGAAAACGGCAGAAGCGATGGCTGGACGTCGCGGACACCTTCGATTTGCTTCCGCAGCCTTTGAATGCAATCCTGCTTCAGCGTCATGTGGTGCCCTGAGCCTTTGCCGCGCCGGCTGTGTGGTGTATTGTTGGCGGGCTGTGGCCTGTTGTTGGACAATGGCCAGCGCCGGCGCTCGGCTCAATCGTGACAATGGAGAGGGTGATTTATGTATATATGATGTTCACCTCAAGACGGACAAGACCAAGTCGCACAGACACTGCGGTCGCGCGACAACAACTTCGGGGATGGAAACATCGCCCCCAAGTCTGCCACGAGATGGCTGCCGAAGCGAGAGGAGCAGTTTGTGTAGGTGTCTATGCGAAATCAGTTCATCTTTCACTTCAAGATGGAGCGCTCCCACTCCTGAAATGTTGGCCGCCAATGGCTCCCGCGCCTTGCTCGCGAAGTTGCAGACTTGGTTCACCCAACAGAAGACACAGCTTGCAGAGGAAACACTTCTTCGGAAGGACCCAATCCGCAATTCATCGTGACTCAGTGAGATGGAGAGCAAGATCCAGACCCTGGTGAAACGCTGAGCTTCAGGCCCTCTAAAAAACGATGCAATGGCAGCCCTCTTTGTGTTTGGCCAACCCATCTTACGCCACAGCTGCGTGCGCTGTTTGAAGAGGAACGGACAATAGATTGACAGCAGCTTGGCTGAGTGCCATGTTGGAGCTCCGACTTCAAAACGATGGTGCCTGGTGCTATGCCATGATCTCTTTTTTATGGCATCAATCTTTAGTGCAGTTTGGTTTCAGGACTTGGGCCAAGCGCTCGGGCCATTGTGGGGTTGTATCAGTTGTAACTCTCCCCCAGCATGTGGTCGGGTGCTTGGGATCAGTCTCTCTCACTAAAGCCAATCTTCAGAACACATGTAATCGCACTCGATCCGGATCGTACGTGGTCAGACTCTGAAGAAAAGTTTCATGTGTCCTGATTGTTCGTGAATTTCCGCAGCTTCATATTACTGTAAGTGATGTTGTAGAACCACCAAGACAAGCAAACTGCACGACGAATCAAGTCTGGAAACAACAGCCAGAGGTATTGGTATTGTTTACCTTGAGGTTGATGGTTGATCCGACGCAGGTGCGATGTTTACCAGTTTCATTCTGTACTCACACTGTCCCATGTCTTGTGAGGTTGGTACGCGAACCAGTTCAGAAGCATGTTCCAGTTTCAGGTGTCCTCCTGAAATGTCATTGTCTCATAGTCATAGTGTTGTTTGAGACAGTGCCCTCAGCACTGTGTATTTCAAAAGGCAAGACAGTCCTGATAGCTTGCCAAAGCAGCCACCTGTCACATGACCATTTGGGTTCTTGTTTCGAGCAAAGGGCAGGCTTCACGTTCAACCGTTCCCCTTTTTGAGTCTGCTAAAGTATGCGTGAACACAATCTGAGTAATTGCTTGGAGCCGCTTTGTTTGGATGATATTCAATTCAGCGGGCTCTAGCATCTCGATTTCCTGTTCAAACAGTTTGACCCACATGCCTAGGTGCCCTCCCTCTCCCGACTTCGGACCCAAAGCTCAGCAAACGACCGGTCTTGCGATCTGCCTCCGAGCTGCTGAGCGATGCAAAGATTGGGGGGCACAGGTTCGGGAGACGCATAGCAGCGGAGAGCCTGAGGTTATAAGATTCAAGCAAAAACCAAGGAGTGTTCCGCAGCTCAGAGATGGGTATAGGTATAGGTGAATTGTTTGCTTCCAATAGCAATGCACCTTGAGGTCACAAATAAACTTGGGCTCGACTGCAGCTCGAACTGACTCTTGGCTTGTGTCCTGTGTGCCATTTGCTTCGGGTGGTTGATTGAAGGTTCAGGCGCTAGAAAAATCATCGCTAGCGCCATTGTTCATATCACATTTGAGTGAAGATCATGTGCACTTCCGCCCAAAAGTCTGAAGGGGAGTGTGTCACAGACATGATAGAGCCGAACTGTTTCAGGGCGTGGATCCTTGTTTGCTGGCGTCCAATAAATTTGACACAGGTAAAGCGCTCCCTGACCGAAGAGAAGGCCTGGTGGTGCCTCAGGCTGCATACAGAACGTTTCCGCATTGTTCCTGCCACATGGCAGTGCGTTGTCGCCCACATCGTATGGCCTTCCTGTGGGTTGTTCAACCTGGTAAGGACCCAACTTAAGATCACCACCTGCTAGCAGGCTCATGCTGACCCAACATACGACATGATCAAAATAACCACAACACCAACTTGCTTCAACCTTGCTCAAACATAAGTTGACCCTTTAAAAAACAGTTTCATGGCATTTCCAACTGCCAAGTCACACCCTCCAAGTTTGCCTATCCAACTGTTCTTGGTATTGACTCGAGTGGTTCTCGGATTTGTTTCAAATATTCAGTTCTTTTATTTGGGCAGTCTAACACAAGTGGATGTTGGTTAATTCGTTGATCCTCGGTCCCACGCACCCAACACAAACTTGCAATGCGCTGGGAGATATTAATTGAAAAGGAACTTTTAGAAGTGAACTATCTCGACAAAAAGCCACCAACAAAAAGCGAACCGGGTGCGTCATATCGCACCGACGAGAGCGCTCAAACCCTCCGTGGATCACTAGAACCCTGGTTTAGCATAGGCCTGGAGCTGCAACGAGGAACATACATACATGTTACATATGCATATAATGTAGACTCTTGATTAATAAAGCGAGGTGATGCAGAGGATTTCCAATTCAGATTGGGGGGTTATTAATCAAGAGTCTACATTACAATAGGTATATGTGTATATCCCTCTGATCTCATTCATACAGTCATATGGCATACCGGCAGCAGAGTTACTGCAACATTGGCGCTTCATTCAATGAAGCTAAAGGAAGCTAAAAGAAGGCAAAGCAGTTGAGAGGAAATCGCATTCCAAAAAGTTCACGTTCACCACTGAAAGCAGCAAAACAGTTTGCAAGAGGCATTTCTGCCGCCAGGAATGTACATCCTTCTATTCTGGAGCTGGTTTTCAGCTGCAATTCTTCATTTTTGAGGGAAAGGTCGCAAAAACTAGAAACAGAAACATGGAAGAATCAAATGTAGATCTAGCCTGATCTAGCCACATTGTTTGATCCTTATGATCTGCAGGGCGTGCTTTGGGACACAACATCCTTCAACGTCTGCTCTTCAGAGCGCATAGTCCTTGAACCATCCATGTAGATGACAGAGACTCCCGCTGCCCAGAATCACCGCATCACCTGACAGGCACTCACAGGGCTGATGCTTTTGATACCTGACAACACTGAACTAACATGACCGAAAGCCTGAGTGAGTTGGAGTCGCCCCCAATGGTGTCCAATGGTCAGTTCCATGGACACCAAACCAAAACACCTCAGAATGCTTGATATTGCTTCGCTGTGTGCTTGCCGCTGGAGAGCCGCTTCAGGTAGACATATAGCAAATAACTTCAGTTGAAGACAAAGGTCCTGTGATCATGATCCAAAACAAAACCTGTTTTCAACTCTCATATGAGTGGCGAAGCTGCTTCAAGAGATCAAACGTGTATGTGTGGAACACACCCTTGCGTCTTCCTGAACTAGTTAGTGCCCTTGAAAATGACTTGAGTAAGAACATTGTGTGAATTGTTGGGTCCCACAAGGAGGCCTTCTTCTGAAGATGATACCCTTGAGCCTCAACCAACCTTGCAGTATTGCTGGTGGGGGGCCAGGAGGTCAACTGAAGTTTCGTCAGTTCGGACAGGCTTGAATGTGATAAGTATTAAGTATTTGACAAATGTGCCATCACGCAAATCATATAGGCCAAACAATTCACACCCAACCCAAGTACCTGGGATTTGCTTAGAAGAAAAGTGTAAAGACAAAGCGTCTGAGGTGGCTTGATGTCCCCCAAAGGCGAGCGTTGAAGATGTGAGCGCAAAGATGAGGACGAGTCTGAGTCTTTCTGAGGGCTCAACCAACTCAGCAAATTCAGCGGACTCAGCGAAGGTTTTGCTTCTGATAATGTAGATTTTTTGGATCGAATGCGTTGCACCAACTCTGCCTTCCAAAGACGGAGGCCTGTTGCTGTTTGCAACTGTCAGGTGGTTCAGTGTTTCACCCCAGGCAGGGCATCACTCAGCGTTTCTGGTCCTGAATGCTCATGCTCATAATCAACAGCGAAGCTAATAATTACTGCTAGGCGTTTTGCGCACAATATCTGTTGGTCACAACGGAGGAGCTACAAGAGTTGACTGCACTTTGGAGAAAATGAGAGCTAATGCCTAATAAGTTATTTTTGTTTTCCAAGGAAAGTCTAGTAAAAGAGAGTCTTGAACATGCAGCCTTTGCTTTGGAATTGTTGTGGTACGTACAGGTGCATAATGTAGGGTACTGTTTGATGCAGCACTGAAAGCTAGTGGCATGAAGCCAAGTTAGGGCCTGCTCGCCCTCTTGCGCCAGCGCTCCAGTTTCAATCTGAACAAGTTGGATACTGCAAGCAGCAAACACAGAGTCGACAGTTGGACAGAACGCTAGCGATATCATCCGAAAACAGTTTTAGTCCTGAAACTAGTTTCATCAGTAAAACCATGGTGTCTTGGAAGTTTGAGTAAAGGCCTCTGACAATCATGTGGGTTCACAGCTGTTGAACAAGCTCAAGAGTTGGCTACAGGTTAGCTGATCAAAAGCATTCACACTTGTAGCTGCCAAGCAAATTCTGAACCAACCATTTCTTAAGCCGCCTCTTTCTTAAGCCATGTTTGCTTCGATCAAAAAATGAACCAAAAGAACCGTTTCAAGAAGTCCAAATGGTGAGCCTCTGAGACTATGTCGAGAAGCAAGGCAGGCAACTCGAGATGAGTTGCTCGCAATTGTGCAAAGATCAAGATATAAGACAAGTGCTTGGGCTGCTTCAATACAGCCCCTTCTTGTTGTCTTCTATTCACACCGCTTCACGGTCGAAGCCGCCTGCACAGAGTAAAGGGAAAACAGACACGCGCAGACAGACATAGACATCCATCCATGCATACATAATACATGCATACATACATACATACATACATACATGTGGCTGCGACCGCAACCACACTGGTAGCTTCCTTGCCCACTTCCCCTTTGGGGTTCTTTCACCCTCAAACCTACCAAAGGTCGGTCCTCCAACCCTTCCCTTCCGCACTCCTTTTGTGCTGTCGTGTCCGGTGCCTTGTCCATGCCTTGAGCCAAACCACAGTGGGTCTGGGTGCTGGTCAACATTCGAAGGTGCTGCTTCCGAGGTCCGAGGTCGATGCTTTCATTCAAATCACACTGGTTCTATTCTCTTTTTCGAATGTGACTGCTCCGAAAAAGATTCTATCCATCGGCTGCTGAAAGTGCGATTTGGATTTTCTTTCAACGAATTGCTGTCATCATATATCCTGAATTTTCCTAATGCTAATACTTTCCGAAGGAATGACGAATCCATAGGCTTAGTCAAACAATCTGCAAGCATAATAGCAGTAGAAATCCATCTGCACTCCGTTGTGTTTTCCGACTGTTGTTTGATCAGCATAACCTCTATCGTCGTCCGCCACTCCTGGCAATTGGGTGTTGCCATCTTGTTCACAAGGTCGTACAGACTTTTACAGTCCGTAATCAGGAGGGCCTTTGGCTCCTTTTGCAAAGAAAGCTCAGGCTTCTGCCACTGGAAATTGCCGTCCTTAATGAATGCCCACATACATCTTAACCACGTGAGCTTGTCTAAGGAGGATGACATGGCATAAGCCTCTGCGCTTAGGGTCGAACGAACTACCCGACTGATCTGTTTGGAATGCCATGACACAGGAGAAATTTCTGAAATCTTGTTCTGGGCAAGTTCCTTCGTGCAGGTTGCTATAAACACTCCCTGTTGTGGCTTAAGCTGTGACTCTGAGGCGAAACTAGCATCCCCAAAACTGGCAAAGGTGACCTGCTTCATATCTATCGGTTGCACGATAATTGCGGTGTCTGCATTTTCCTTTGTCTCTTGAAGTATCTTGTTTGCTTCCATTAGGTCTTTGACCCGAGCTTTGCATATGCTCTTTTGCAGGCATGAGACTTTTGCCATCATGTCGGGACGCGAGTGAACTGCCGCATATTGCAGGCTACCACACAAGGCTCTTAATTGGTGTTGTTCTTGGTTCGTCACTGGCGACTCTGGTTCTTTTCTTCTGATCTTGGCTACATCTATTGGTTCAATCTGGTGCACATAATCCTTTTGCCCTACTTTGATTGAAAAATCTTCTCTCTGTTCAACGGTCAATCCTGTGAATTTGAACTTTCTATATTCCCGGTTTCCAAAAGGCAGTTTCTTCTGAAGATTCTCAAGAGCCTTATCAAATCGTGGACCTCCACCCCCGATTCCATCGTCGACATGTGTTCCCAGGATTCCATCCAGTTTGGTGGGATCTTCCGGATTTCTGAGGAGGTCTAAAGGGTGAGCTGTGAATCCTTCATGTTCCAAGCACTTACGAAACTCCTTGTAGAAGAGGAGGGGTGCATCTACCCTACCGTATGCATTGCCTTTCAACAACAACACCTGTTCCTGGCTGAGGCTAAGCATCTCTTGGAACTCCTTAACTGGGTAAATGGCCAATTCACGCTGATCCGATCGACCACGCAGAAATGCGGTTTTAATGTCGAATGATTGGATGTCCCAATGTTTTGAGCTAACTGTCTGTAATATCATCATCCGTCCGTCCCTTGACAAAGTCGGACTCTCTGTCGAGACTATCCCAACTTCGGGGTCTTGGAAACCTCTAATGACCAAACGAGCCTTGGGCTTGCGGCCTGTCGATGACGTATGATCTTCCTTCCAAGTGAGAACCCATTTGGAAGACATTATCCTGGATGGGTGGATTTTATGCCTCAGGATTGGTTCAACTGTACTTGTCTCAATCCAACATTTCAGCTCTTTACGCTTGGCTTCATCGAACTGCTTTCTTTCTGATTCCGTGAGGTTTCGATAGTTCACCTCGGTATGGCTTTTCTTTGCGGCTTTGTTCATGGCTTCGGCATGTAAACATGGGTTCTTACAAAACTTCTCCAACATTTTCATCGGAACAACGAATTCGAAACTGCAAAAGTGGGCTTCAGCTATTTCGGATGCTTCCATACTCCATAGAGTCCCCCTATCATCCACCCCTTGCTGCTGTCCATCTATTGCTTCTACTGACATGCATTGACCACCATTGAATCCCCGAATGATTCTGATGGATTTACCGGATGATCATTATCTAGACCGGAGGCTTCTTCTTCTGGGTTTGAAGGCTCTCGAAGTTCATCTTCTGCATTTGGATCAATCACTGGGATCTGACTTGCATCAAGCCCAGGCGGATGACCCGGTAGGGATTCTGTTCGAGAAACCCGGCGTAGAGGCTCTTCCTCTGGCTGATTCGACCTGGGCATTGGTTCTGACCTCGACTCTGCAATCGATGGCTCATAGTCGGTGTCGATGAGTTCAGAGAACTGAAACATTCCACTTCGGTCTTTCAGATCCTTTTTGAGTTTCTCTGCCATCTCTTGCAAACGATGCGTGTCCCCGGTCTGACTGAAACCGTGATGACTTTGGAACTCACGCAGGGACACAGACCGCATGTTCTCTCTTGCGACCCTCAACAGCCTATTCAGGTGTGTTACCCATACTATGGTACGCGATTCATGCATGATGACTTGACAGGGACCTACCCATCTGCCTTTTTCGAGCATATTTGGAGCCTTTCGTTTATCCCATACCATGCATAGTTCACCACATTTCCAGTCATGTTCTCTTCCCCGGGATTGTCTTAACATGGCTCTTCGGATTGACTGGCTATTATCTGCATCGATGAGGGCTTTCCTGGCTTCGGTTCGAACCTGCATCCTTTTCTGAAACACATCGGCTTGTGGATCTTCACTATCTGCGAGAGAGTGTGCCGTTGTGTCCTCGTCGTTGCAAATGGATCCAGGAAGTCGTCTTGATCTTCCCAGAACGGCCTGCTCTGGACTGAACCCCTTCGCAACGCTCATACTGTTCTTAGCCTGGAAGCATTGGGACAGTGCATAATCGAAATCTTTGTCGCTTCGAATCGGCACGTGGTTGTCTACCCTACTCAGCATTTCTTTTATAATGCCCCCATGCCTTTCTATTCGTCCTCTTTGCCAGGGTGCTGCGGAGGTCTGCGTTTGAATGCCGTTTTGCTGCATCATGTTTTTCCACTGTTGGCTTACGAACTCTCCTGCTAAATCATGATGGATTATTTGAGGGGGTCCGGCCCAGTGAATCCAGGTTTCATTGACTACTTTCTCAGCTTCTTCTGTTCCTCTCTTACACCTTCTCCCCAAATGAAAGTGAGTGGCTTCATCAAAGATGTGAATGACATAATACTTCTTTCCATTGCTATCTTTCCACTCGAATCCGTCTAATGCAATCACTTCGTTGAAGTCTTTTGGTTCTTTCAATTTACCGGGAGAATGAAGTTTCGGTGGAACCCTTTCTGAACAAGACTGACAAAGGTAGTCACCGGCACCCTCGATCAATTCTTGTGAAAATTTCAATCTCTTCAGGTGGCTGGCTAACTTCTCAGCTGTGGGATGACCTAGATTATTATGGATTCTCTGAATTAGAGACCTTTGGAAGCTATCCAGGCTGTGGAACTTCGGACCCGAATTGTTTGAGGATTGAGGAGACCATGCTGGAATCATTACTTTTGATGGCTCTTCTTTTCCTGTGTCTTCTCGAATTTCCACAGCATACGGCTTGGCTGGCTCTCCGACCTCTGCTCCGTTCGGCTCTGGCTGTTCATGCGAACCTTCAGCATCTGCAATCTGTGGGTCAGGATCACTTTGTCTCTGGGATGCTTCTGCTCTGCTTTCTTCTCTAGTCGAATCTACCCCAAACACACAAACCATGATGTGACTTGGCATGGCTGTCCTACGCTGTTGCCTGAGGGTCAACCGTGTCCAGTTCTCTTCACCTAGATCAACAATCTGCTTGGTTTTACGGCACTGGCATATGGTTCTTCGGATTTCATGGGTGGTTTCTCCTATGAGATACTTATCCATGCCTTTTCCTGCGAGAATCTTTCGAACCTGGAATTCACATTGTTCGACAATGAAGTTTCCTGGCCACGTTCCTATTGAGACCTCGATGGACCCTGACTTTGGCAGATTCTTCTGGAACCAATCGAAGGCTTCGATCCAAGTCTCATCAGCTAGGACTTTCCTTGCTGAGTCATCGGATACTTCTTTCCTCTTCGATTCACGTGGTGGCTCAAAACGTGCGCGCTTCGCAGGTGGATGCTCTTCATCAACAGGAAACAAATTCTCCCAATCTTCTTCAAAGACAACTGGGATTCTTGCTGGTTGAACCTCCTGCAAAATGCTCCGGGCTGCGGCTCTTGCAAAAACTCTGGGATAAAATGCTGCATATCGAGACAATGCCATTCTTTCTCCTAAATGGTTGCACGAACCCGCAATTTGAGCATGTTCATGGTTCTTCTTGCAATACCGTCCATCAAGGTCCTTGACTATTTGGTCTGAGGTGGTTTGCAAACGAGTATGCTTCTTTAGGGGTCTGTCGTCTTCGGGATGAATAAGTCCAAACCTGCATTGATCTAACTGAACTGTCTTCGTCAGTGCTAGTAGTGGCTCAAGTTCAGGTTGTTTCCATATATCGGATGTTCCTGGGTTCTCGGCTGTGAAATGTCTTTGTTGTTGTACCTGAATCTTGCAGATGAGTGTGCACAGTTCCAAATGTTGTTTGGACAACTCACGATTCCTTTGAATCTTCTCGAACAAGGAGGTACTTCTTCCGGCATTGAAACGATTCCATGCGCACCATGGAAAGC